TATTCAGACTTATTTCTTGGTTAAACATGTATAGTGATCAAGAAAGAGAACAATTTAGAAATTATGTGCGAGATATTTCAAAAGTGCAGCGTAATCATGTTGCTGATCGCATAGAAAAGCTTGCTTTTCAACAGAGCAAACCATGGCAGTATTTTATTGGATGCGTCATGTTTTCAACCACAAGCGTTTTCATGATTTTCAAGCTGTACGGTCCTCGACATATTTTCAAAAATAGCATGTATTACGCTCGTCCACTTCCTGCAGCAATTAGTATGGGTGTAGCGTTGTTTGGTCTCGTGTATACATGTCGTGGAATGTTAATACGCAATCGCATTTGCATCATGATCGAGGATTATGAGTACGAGCTAAAGCGAATCAAAGCTCACCATTGTGAAGAGGGAGTTGATCAGCTTGCGTGGCTAGAATTTGTCAAAGATGAGGTAAAACAGGAATCTGAAGGTCGCTTTGATTTTTCTAAACTGAAGGAGTAATTGAGCACAGGGAATGGGAAAAAATATTCACCTTAAAAATAGCAGTGAAATAAACATAACTGCGTGATTTAAAAAAAGATTCTATGCAATGTATGAAATTTTTATTTGTTTTTTGTCTTGTTTTCTCTTCATCATCAAGAAAATGGATGCACAAAAATACAAAGAGAGGGTTCTAAGTCGTTTTGATACGGTCGTTAGATATTTTTGGGATGGACTTCCTACACCACCATTTGTTTGTTCAAAAGATGACCCTCCTCGAGGGAGTTTCACAGTTCGAACTCTTGGCTACTCACCCGATTACAGTAGAGAAACCTTGGATATTTCCCTTGAACCAATTACAAACGAAGCTTTAAACTTTCAGCCACTTAGCTGTCTTGAACCTATTACTACTTCCATGAGCTCACGTATTGGCTCACATTACTCACCATTTGTTGGATTTTTCACTTTCAAAAAAAATTCGACATCATCAGCCAAAATTACCTACCCTTTACAGCGAATTCGAATTCCTGTTGAACACTGTGAGGATGAAGTTGAGGTAGCTAAAAATCTTCACAGCTTCGCTCAATGCACTCGAACAAGCAAGCTAACTGAGCTTTATGAACCACTTGTGAGAGAACACTCTCCGATTAGCCAAGCGAGTTTGAAAAAAATTCTTACGCTTTCAACAAGGGGCATGAAAATGAATACGAGGGAATCCGTCGTGTCTGAAGTCTGCTGCATAAGTGATGAGTATGTGCACTGGGAAAGCGAGGGAATTTTTTTTATCTATGCATCAATCCACTTGTCCGCAACATTTTGTCACCCTTAAAATTGAAAACATCGCCCGATTATTATAAGCCTCATCGAGTTGAGCTTGCTGGAGATGAAAGAGAAGTCTTAAAGCTCCATGTTGCTCTTGCGAGAAAGAATTTGGAATCAACACTGATATGGAGCGACAAAACACATGACTTCTTTGCTTCGTTGCACAAAATATGGGAGACTCGGCATGAAAACTTGACACTGTTTGATTTAGAATCGATTCATGGCAGTATCGATTCTGGAGCCTTTCTAAATCATATTAGCCTCACGATGAAGACGGTATTCACCAGGATTCGAATCGATTTCTTTTCTAGTGTTGAGGAGCTTTTTTTTGCCCATGTCCCGAATGCAAAGGAAGCTATTTTATTGAGTCACGCAGACTTAGAAAAGAGTAGTTTCCATAGGATCTTCGTAGCAGTTGATGTGTACTTGACGAATCAACTGCGTAATTTTATTGTGCGTGAGCTTAAAAAACTTGTTTCTTTTTTCCAATGTAAAGAGGCAAATGTCATCCGATATGGCAAACGAAAGGCGTTGGAAAAACCCGTTCTCAGCGTTACAATGGTTATTGGGGCAAACTGTCGAGCATCCTTGCCAAGTTTTTCACGTCTTTGCATTGGCATCTCCGACCTCTTTGAGGAGTTGAAAAAGGAGGCCAATTCACTTCCTCGTGTACACAAATCGATCTTTCGCAGTTTGAATATTGACACACATTCCATGATGGTGGCCCTGCCAATGGAGATGGAGTGCTTCCGTTTCATGATTATTAACTCTCTGGATAAGACGGGACAGTCTATTGATGAATTGTCCTCAAAGTATTCCCAATACTCTATTGTCCCAGCGCAGTGGGCCCCAGAGCCCACTAAAGACTTCCCTAGTAATGTGAGTGAAGTTGTTTCAGTTGCTAGAGAACATATTTTTAACATTTATTGCAATCTTGCCAATGTGGTGTATAGTGGTTGCTTTGAAATACATTGCCATTCAATTAAAGAACATTTTGCGACAAGCTGGGAGAATTATTTGGAGTGCTTTTACTGTCAACTTAACTCATCAGTTTTTAGCCTTACTACGCAGACTAATGCGAAGTGCTTGCAAGCACAAGAAGCCCTGGAGCGCGTTCCTCAATCTGTGGAGGAGTTGAAGGCACTTTTGAAGCACACTGAGGAAGTGAAGAAGTTAGTGAAGACTATCAAAGTGGTTGAGTGTGAGGATGCAATTCTTCGCATTTCGCACATGGAAAGCAACCTGGTTCCTATCCAGCCCAATGTGTACGAGTCTGCCATGAAACTAATGAAGTGGCCTGAAATTTTAGCCAAGCAAATCACCATATCGGAAGAAGCCATATCTAAGGCTAAGCCTCAACTTGTTGGAAACCTGAAATTACTTTGCGCCAATACTCGAGGATATATAAAGACCCTTTCGACAGGAATTACTGAGCTTTACAACATGTTTACCTTTGATATATGTGATGTTGCTTTCCAAACATGTATCGAGCTCCAAAATCTAGTGGATCAAATTGACGTGTCTGTTAAAACCATTGCAAGTCAGGAAGCGCTCTTAGGAACACCTTCTTTTGATTCCTTTGCAGATTTTAATGTTTTGCATAACCACTTTGATATTATATCACAGTACTGGACTGAAATAAACAGAAGTGCACGACTACTTGAATATTACAAGTGCCCGATTGGATCACTTAAGGCAGATCAAATGATCGAAGATGTGCGTGAGTGTCGCCGGCTTATACATTCTTGCACTCACAGATTACGGGCCTACGCACCCCTCGTACAACTTGCACGCCAACAGGAACTCAAGTTATCTAAGTTTGAAGCTTTAGAGGAACTTTTGCATTTGATTACTATTCCTGGACTTCGGAAGCATCATTGGAAAGAGATTTCACGCCTATTGGCTACAAAACTTAAGGAGGATGCTCCCCAAGTAGTGGACATGACAGCTCCACTACATAAACTTCTTGATGCGGGAATTGTGGAACATTTAAGGGAAGTTACCAGAATCGTTATACAAGCAAATAATGATTTTCTGACTGAGGAAGCTGTGGAGGAGATGAAAAGCATATCCAAAAAAAAATTCTTCGACTTTACAAAGGCTACGTGGAGTCATGTACCACGACTTGTAGTCAGTGAGGAGTGCCGCCACAGCATGTTGTTGCAGATTGAAGATTTCTTTTTGAGATCCCAAATGCTGATGAAGAACATGTCGCTGAGCGCGCCAGTTCTTTATATTTTAGCGGAGTGGAAAAGCGCCATAAACAAGTTACAAAAGGTTATTGTGGAGTGGGACGATGCTGAAGAAAGATGGAGCAGCCTCTGCAACTATATGTGTGTCCTTCGCTGCAAAAAGAACACCACTATCGATGGTGTACGTGCTCTTATCCTTGAGAAACTTACACAAACTGATGAATCATTCAAAGCTCTTAACGAAATCATAAAGCGACCGCAATTTTCGCTTCACGTAGCAATAGTTCAAGACACCATCAGTGATCATGTCACTGCAGCTAAACTCACCATGGACGAGGCAGCACTCATGTTACCCGTAGTGCTAGATGAAATGCGAGAAGGGTTTCCAAGATTCAACTTCCTAACAGATAGCCAGCTGAGTTCATTTCTTTCCTCGTATGATACAAAAAGTCTTTTCTCAATACTTCCATTTATGTATCCCCGCTTATGCCGTGTTAGTGTTGAAGGTGATTTTGTAACCGCTTTTACGACGACTAATAATGCAACAATTTCAGCGCTCGGTGAGTTACGCTTGTCAAACGACCCAACAGAAGAATGGATGGTATCTTTTGATCGAGTACTAAAGTCGTCTGTGGTTTCAGCTATGAAAGCATGCCATGATGCATTTTTCGTAACGGACATGAAAACTTGGCTCACAAGCTGGTGCTCTCAGTTTATTATAATGTCGTTAAGGTCGGTTCACACATATGGGTTGCGTGAGGCGATCAAAAACCGTGGAGCTCTTGGACTAAAATCCCATAAGACGAAGATTAAGAACATAATCGCAGAAGTTCAAAGAATCGCACTAACGTTGGGCCCACAACCCGATGGACAACAAGCTGTTCTTTCAGCTCTTTCTTATTTGCAATTTGCTGACACTGAGGTAGATCACGCACTAAGCATCGGTATAGCAAGTATTTCAGACTTGGATTCTACTCCGATGCTCCAAACATTCATCACCGAATTTGCTATTGTCACTCGAGTGATGGGAATAGTCATTCCATATGGACTTGAGTTCTTCGGGAACGACCGGGAGCCATTTTTTATTCCTCAAATGCTTGAGAAGGCTATTAATATCCTTTCTCTTACCGTTGGAGGACGATCTATTCCACTTTTAAATCATACTCGTGAGACACAGAGTCTACTGCAATCATTGTGTCATTTTTGCGGTCTCTTCTTGATCACCGTTAGCTGTAGTGAAACGACCACCTTGGATACTATGCGTTCGTATCTCCGTGGGGCGTTGGCAACCGGTGCGTTTTTTTGTGTGAGCGAGTACAGAAAACTTAGTGAAGAGATTCAAGTATTTTTGACGGAATGTTTTCGTAGGATTCAGAATGGGTCTCTTGCATGTGTTTCAACAAATTTTGTTACAGAGCTGGCACTAAAGACGCATGGTGAGTTCGTAAAAACATCTGTCCATCCGAATTTTATGGGAGTTATCACTGCGAGCGAGCCTCTGTACAAAATAACGCGTGAGTTTTCCCAAGAGTATCGCCCGGTCTATCTACCACGCATGAGATTAATCGATGTGATTCGAATTTATCTCACCGCTTTTGGAATCACTGATGGAAATCAGACAGCTAGCCCAGGGTTTGCTGTCATGTACGAGCACCTTCAAGAGATTTTCCCTTCTGTGTTTACCTATCCTAAACTTCTCATAGTACTACAGCACGCAACGAAAAGTGGTGTGTCTAATGAGGGGTACACTAAGGGCTTCCTTTTCGAGGCATTTACGTGTATTTTTGCATCTGTATTAAATGAAAACAAACAATTGAGGGACTTATTAGAGTTTTATGCAAAACACACATTGGGTCTCTCCGTTATTAATTTACAACGTGCTCTCTCTACTTCTCTCCCTCCAAAGAGAGATGTGAAGGCTGACTTTGCTCGGACAATGTCCTTCTGTCACCAAGTCATGATTGCCGGGCCACATTTCTCTGGCAAGGCAAGGCTTTGGAGAGATTATGTCGGAAAGGACAAACATGTTGTGCTATGCACTTCTCTCATGACTGCACGTGAATTTTGTGAGCACGACGCTGTGGAGGGTATATTGAAGGTGTTGACCGGAGTCGCAGCGACTCCATTAGAGCGCCACTTTGTTATCATTGAAGATGAGACCTTTTTGTACGCCACGTCCTGGATAAATTTGACCCTTTATGGACGTGTACTTGGGCCACGAAAGACCAGCTTTACATTAACTCCCTCGTCTTATATGATCGTGTGTACAAACACGTTACAGCACACAGATCCGCATGTGATTTATGGCTTTACAATATTTTCACTACCTGCTCCTTCTGATTGGAGAAGCTTTCTGCGCGATCGTCTGAATGATGCTCCTGGTTGTGATGTTGCTGCAAACGTGATGGAAATAGTCCTTCCTGCAGTCTGGGCAGCCATTGAGCATGGTGATTGCAAGCGAGCTCATGAGGACGTGCTCAATACCAATATGGGATTCTATGCTGCCTGCAAGCAGTGTGTCAAATTGTTTACACGGTGGTACGGTTATATAGAGCAGTCATGCTGTTCCCCAGCTTTCATGAGGGAAGAGGTTGCTGATCCTCAATTGAATGTGCATGTATTCGCAGCCCGATGTGCTGTTCAGGCAGTTTGTTGGAGCATGGGTCTGGCCTTGAATCCTCATCAGCTTGATCACGTTCGAAGGGCCTTACTCACAGTCGAAGATAGCCTTAACGAATTCATGGAGAATTATGATTCAACAGATAAAATACTTCCCCCTCTTGAGGGCGATGAAAATATTTTAGACTTTGTACTG